GGCTCGGTGGTCATGTGACGTGGCCAACTCAACATCACTCAGATCAATGGGCGCTTTGCCTTAGCTGTNATTATTTTGACATACAAAAAATTGTACTTCGATGTCTTACTGATTGAGGAATGATGAAATGTTTGTTTTAAAAGAAATAAAACTTTTGAACACAATATTGGGATGTTTAGAATCTGGTGTCCGTAAATTTAAAAGCATATTTGCATATACTCTTGAGCTGTGCAATGTTAATTTGCTGTTGTGCCATTTTCATTTTCTTTCTTATGCTGGGAATTATTTATCTCTTTAGCTTTCGATGTTTTGTTGATGCACTATTTGTGTAAATGAATAATAATGAAAAAAGTATCCTGGGCTTCCAGTTCTGCTGTACTTTCATATCAACGAGTATATTTAGCCTGCAGCATACTAAATTATACGAATTGAGCCTTTACAGAATATACAGTGGAGGAATATGAGGGCAGAGGGGAGATAGATATGACTCAAAGCAGGCCAGAGGCTAAGCAAACTAGAGGTTGTTAGGAAATAATTTTTTAGTCCATACTGGCTAAAATCCCCACTCTTCTTTCAATACTGCAGTGTTTCAAGCACACCTCTAGAATGCTGAAAATAGATCTCCATCATCCATCTTTTAGAATGAACTGTGAACTTCAGGATAATTTGCATTATACAAATGACTAGGACCTAATTTCACATGGAATGAAACATTTATTGCTTAATCCAACACAGAGAAATGCTTGTGTGATTGCCAAGGGTTATTTTCGTACTGATGGCTGGATGATTGACTTCAGAAACAAATAAAGATTATTTGTTTGGTTGGCATGAAAGTAGTTGTCATGCCTGCATCCAATCAGGAAAACTGAATAGTTGTGATCAACAAGAAGCAAAAGTGAGCTGACCTCTTTTGCCCACCTCATGCTAAAACCACGATACTTCGTAAACAATGTTCTCCTCTCAAACAATCCACTTTAATCAGCATGTTTAAAAGATAGTTGTATAAATACTAGCACATTTCTAAACAGCTGTACATCTTTTCTGTAGCAAAATTAATTTTCTTCTAATCTTTTGCACTTTAGTAATTTGGGATCTTACTTTTTTTTAAAAATGTACCATATTTTTCAGAGTATAAGACGTTCCAGAGTATAAGACGCACCTTAGTTTTTGGGGAAGAAAATAAAAAGAAATTTTTTTTTTGCCTCTGCCTACCAGCATCCATGGTATTCAGCTGACACATGGTAACAAGGTCAGCCAATGAATAGACATAGCAACTAAGTCAGTCAATGAGGGCTATTTGGATTCTGGAATTTACTGTGTGAGCAAGAAGGAGACAGGAAGGAGCCTGGCTTAGTGAAGAACTGAAAGTGAAACTGCTTGTGTTTTGCTTATATTTACTGCTACCTTGGAAAACCTGCTTTTGGTAATGTATTATATATTATTATTATTAT